GTCCTGAATGTACTTCTCGGCAGTCTGCTCAGTCTCTACTCCCAAATTTAGAATACGCATCTCATTGAAGTTCCTGACAGAGATAACCTTGTGTCTGTTGGCTGCAGCAAGAGAAACAAACCTGTTGTCGTACGGAACCAGTGCACATTTCTTGAGTTTCGGGTACTTCTGGTCACGAGCATACACAATCCGACGGTGTTCTTCATATCTTTTCATGAAGGCTAGTCTTATATCCTCAGGATCCTCCACCATGTCTTCCAACTGGAATGCATGTCGACCTTTTTGCAGTTCCAGCATGCAGATTTGACCCCTGATGAGTTACATAGTCTCTGTTCCCAGATCTGGAATCTCCACTATCATCATCAACATCCAGAGGTGTTGAACTTGTTGTTTTTGAGGGAGGAATACGACCTCTTGTTCGAAGACGCTGAGTCATCGAAACCTTCTTCGACTCAATCTTTACAATTGTAGTACACTTATGTTTCTTGGATTTTGTCAGACGCAACAACCCTCTTTAACTTGGCCGTTGACGGATCTTCAGCAACCTTTCCCGGTGACTTAGTCATGATAATTTCTGCAAATCTCAAAGATAACGAGAGCCATAAACGAGAGAAAAGTATAGAAGCAAGAGAGATATGTGAACTGTAGAAGAGAGAGAAACTAGGGTTCATAAATGGTAAAAAAGAACAGTTACACACGATAAGACAGACCGAGGCGTGAACAATTCGTTTTCCCTCCACTCCCTCGATTTTCAGAAAAGTAAATCGTCACTCGAGAAATTTCCTTTTTCCGAACCGTTTTGCAAGCCCATTATCTCTCTTTAAGAGAGTCCAACAAGATATCACAGAGATATGTGGGCCAATACCCACAAAACACCCATTTCCAACTAACGGATGGAACTCGTTCATCAATAACACATGATTCAAACTTAAATGATAGAGAAACAACAAAGACCAAAAGAAATGATCTTAACCAGCTAGGAATAACCTAACATAATCACAGCCCATGAGATTTAAAATACACAAGATAAGAGATGATAGTAACACAAGAACCTAGACCTAATCGTATATACATACAATCAGACTCATGCAGCAGTCACATAAACAGGGAGCAAAAATGCAACCACTGTGAACCGAGTTGCAACAGACGAGAATCAGTCTCCGAACAACACTGATTTTCTGAGAACAAAATATGCGAACCAAAAAAGAAGAATTTGACCAAGATATATACATATGTATACAGAATAGAGATACAAACCCTCAGACTTGTCCAAGAGGACATGTGACAACACAAGTTGACATCAGAACAGCAAGCGGAAGTCTTTTTGAAGGTGATTCAACACACCAACCCACTGAGGTAGCTGTTTCTCACAGAGAAGCTTTCACACTCAGTGATCAACTCAGAATAGTCTTCACATCAGCATACATGTTCAGTATCTATCAAAAGAGATTCAGACATAGAACAAAAAGCCTTTTCCCCACTTGTTTTTCAATTTTGAGCAAGTGACATAACATGAGTCATGGTTTCTTTTCGTTCACCCTTTTTCCTTTCTCGGGG